TTCAATTTCTTCCTCCCCCCCCCCCCTTCCAGTTTTTTTACTGTGAAATAGTCAGATTTAGTTGGATTGCAGTAGCATCTAGAGGCCGCTTTTGCATGTGCATGCCCGGAGTGAAAAGGCAGCGCAGGCTGCACAGCACTCAGCCTTCAGTGGATGAAATGGAGAGGCGTTTCTAACCCCTCTAGCACAGAGAGATTTCTAGAGAGATTACTGACTTGCAGCTACACAAGACGGCAGTGCCTCCAGCCCATAATGAATGACCAAGCCCATTTAAAATACTCCTTGTGTTTCCCAAGATACGAGAAAGCTGCAGAGAGAGTTCTCCTGAAATCAAATCTTTGCTTATGAACCATCACCGCAGTAATGACTCTGGCTCCCGTAGCTGCTGACAGTATCTGCTATTTCTGCTGTTTCACAGGTGTTGTTATTAGAAAGGCTTTCAGCATCAGCGCAAGCAGCTCTCTTGCTGCTGGTTAGGAGCCTTTAGGAAGCAGTCAAATCCTTCTTTTTTTTTTTTTTTTTTTTTTTTTTGTGTGTGTGTGTATCAGAAATGGTTATGTATGTATATGTATTTCTTTTCCCCACACAACAGCTGACCTTGTTTCTGGACTCAGCACTGTGATTTAGCACAGGGACTAGGCTTCGACATGCTGAAAACTCTTGTTAAGTATTCAGCAGGCCATTAACTTTGGAAAAATGCTTGATTTCATCTTCTACCTATTTTCAAAGCAGGCTACCAAGTGTCTGCAAGGGCTGACCAAGAAGCACGTTCTGTTACAAGCTCTATCTGGTACCTGGTTTCTCATCCATCCATGAAGTACTGTGACAGGTCGTAATCATTTCACATCACCTGGATGCACAGGCTGCATCCAGGCTGGACAGCTGCAGGCTTGAGACAGTGTGCTCAAACTGCACATGTTCTTCCCTGATGGTAGAAATAGGATGGTTTGCTTGACCCACCGGTTTAAAAGCAGGTCTTCAGAATGTAAAAATTGTTCCTCCACTGCTATGGCTATAGATTTGTGTAGCTTCGTTATAAACTGGATTCTACTCAGCTTTTTGGGACAGCAACTTCCTGCACATGTTTACAGTTCCTGTTCCATGCTCAGCCAGTTGCCCAGATACCACTCACAACAACCAAGATTAACTTAAAAGTAATCAAAGCTGCAAGGAAAGGATGAGCTGACAGGACTTAGGTCTCTGTGGCAAGACCTACAACCCCAAGCATGCAGCAGTGTGTTTTAGTGGGACAGTGCAAGTATGAAGATACATGGTGGGAAGAATGCATCTGTAAACTGGGAATTACCACTGCCAAGCATCCCTAAAAAGGTCTCACCTAGTATGGTCACTCAGATTTGCTGGTTATGACCTTCTCACTAGTGACTCTAGCTCCTGACGCTTGAAGGAAAATAGCAGTCCTGTGCTCACGGGGAAAGGCTGATCTGTACATGAGATGGAATTACATGAAGGCAAAACGATGACACACATTAAAAAAAAGACGTATGTCAGAGTCCACCTTCAGGGAAGTGATGTAGTTAAAGCAGCTATGTTCAGTTGCTTTGATTTCTATTAGTGACTTCAGACTTGCTTACTCAGCCCTGAAAGAGTGACTTGTCGTTTATTCAAGGCTAATATAATTAGTTCTCAGTCCTCCACTCTTGCTCTAACTAGAAAATATAGGGAATCTTCAGTAAATCTTTGAAACAGGCAAATATTGAGGGTTCAGGGAGATCACGTGGTCCAACAAAGTTTAATGAATGTAACTTCTATGAGACTTGGCCGTGCTGCTCCGCGGTCTGAAACGCGTTTGGGTAATCACACACAGATGTGCTGAATCGCATGAGATAGGGAAGCAGTTTTCACATCCCTCAGTCTGGAAAAAATGTCTGTTTCCAGAACAAACCATGTGCTCGATTTTGTGAATCGATTCAAATCATAAGTATGCTTAACATGTACACACGTTGATATATTTGTATTTAATTCTCAGCGTTCATACAGTTTCAACTGAGTGTCTGCAAGATTAGTCATACAGACCCAGAAAAGTTAGACATCTAATTCCTCTTCAGTCTGGGGCTGGAAAGTACCTCTGGTGTTTTTAATTAAAAAATAGAAATTCAGGGAATTTACAGTTAAGATGTCTCCTCACTCTATTGCTTCTCTGTGCAGCATACTGTGGTGTTCTTTTAACAATGGATAATTTAATTTTGGATTGGAAATGTGCCGAATCTTTCAGTGCAGTGGATGCTTTGAAGGAAGTGTTAGATGAGACCACAATTAATAGTATCTTAGTAGGGGGGGAGAAAAGTTTCTTCATTATCTGAGGTAGGAATAATTACAGAACTTGAAAAATGTTTTCATCGTGCACTTCTTATTGATCAGCTTTTAAATATAGTCTAATTTCCTAAAACACCACTGCCAGTAGTGCATTGCTAAAGCAGAACAGCTCCAGCAACACGTGCTGGAATTTGACTTCTTGTTCATTTGTTATACAGGGACTGTCCGAAGCCCAGTGCTCAGGTGTAGGGGAACTGTTCAGAGCAGGACACAGAGAAATCTGAGCAAATAACACCACCACCCACCATTGGAAAACATGCTGTTCTCCGGACCAACTTCAGACACACCAGGAGTCCTGCAGAAAGCAAGCAGTACAGCCACGGCATCTTTGTTCCCCTGCAGTGCTCCTGCCCTCGCTCAGTCTCCTGGCCTCCTGCTATGCATTTACACCAGCAGCACACCATGTCCTGTGAACCACCAGCTTCTCCAGCAACCTGGAAAACTCTCAAGGCAGAAAGCAGCTTTTTCCATGCAGGCTCTCTCTCTCCCTGGCTTGGCCTCGTGCTGCTTCGGACCTGAGCTCGTCCTAATCCTTCTGCAGTGTAGTTGGATGCTCAAAAGCTAACATGACCATACTGCTCCTGTGAGCCAAGATTTGGCTTTCCATGGCTTTCTGCCCATGCCCAGCCCCTAACAGCAGAACTGCGAGGCCATGACTGAAGGAAAAGTGGGTCCCCATGGGTGCGTGAGCATGTATTTAAGTTTTGGGATATACCCACAAAAGCAGAGGAGGTGGTTGTTTCCCACACTCTCCGTGGCAAGATCAGGCTGTTTAGAGCAGCCTAACACCAGAAACAAGAGCAGCGTCTGCCCAAGTAACCAGTGCCTTGGCTCTTTGTGAGAGGGGCTTTGGGTTTGTTGTGGTGCTCGCACCATCCATGCTGCCTAGAGATGGTTGCACCAGGGCTTGTAAGATGCTTCAGGCAAGTTACTGTGAGAGGTGCGAAGGAACTCAATGCATTGCTGGCAAATCCAGCAATAACTCCAGACTCAGCTTTACTGTTAATAATCTTACGACCCGTGTAACATCAGCCTGGAGAAGAGAAGGCTCCGGGGAGACCTTATAGAGGCCTTTCAATACCTGAAGGGTGCCTATAGAAGAGCTGGAGAAGGACTCTTTGCCAGGAAGGGTAATGATAGGACAAGGGGAAACGGTTTTAAATTGGAAGAAAAAAGATTCAGATTAGATCTCAGGAAGAAATTTTTTACTATGAGGGTGGTGAGACACTGGAACAGGTTGCCCAGGGAAGTTGTGGATGCCCCATCCCTGGAGGGGTTCAAGGCCAGGCTGGATGGGGCTTTGAGCAACCTGCTCTAGTGGGAGGTGTCCCTGCCCAGGCCAGGGGGGTTGGAACTCGATGATCTTTGAGGTCCCTTCCAACCCAAACCATTCTATGATTCTATGA